ATTAACCACTCAACATTTTATTTACGGTCACGCCATCTATTGACGAGAAGAATATATTAATTTTAGTTGCACTTTATTATGCCGTGATTCACACTTGTAGATAATTATTATTATTTTTTATTTAAAGAATCAGCCACAGGTTATTATTATTCAATCAGTTTTTATATAAAAATATTTAAATTACCTAATAAAGGTATAATATATGAATTGTGTAGTGGCGGTGTAAGAATATCCACAATCCCATACTGTCCAGCGGAGGTCTTACTCAAGAAGCGACAGATTGAAACAAACCAAGGGTGGGAGCAACGTCTTCTTAGAAACATAACTAGTGCTAGAAAATAAAAAAAAACTACGGTTGCTAACCCGCCTACCAAGCGTGGCAACTATGGCAAATTTCCGCTCCCCTATAGAAGGCAATCTATAGAAAGGCCTATATATTATTTTCTGTTCATCAGTGGACTTTCAAGATATAATGATGGCGACGATTCAGTAATTTACGTTATTCATTCAGATAGTTAATCAAAGTAGGTGTAAGGTATAAAAAGTTAAATTCCAAAAATGTTTGTAATGCGTTCCATTACTTTCTTTCATTCCACGAATTTCTATTTTAGCAAATGCAATCAGTGTATAGACATTTCTTTTATTTAAATATAAATTATGTGCATATAAATAATTAAAAATTTTGTACAACCGAGTTCAATATAAATTATTAAGAATAACTCAAAAACTGTTGATCAGACCTTGATAAAATTTATATGGGACCACATGTGAAGCACCAGCTTTCAAATAAAAAAAGAATCATCGAAATCGGTTCACCCAGTAAAAAGTTTTGAGGTAATACACATAAAAAAAATACATACAGTCGAATTGAGTACCGGCCCCTTTTTGAAGTCGGTAGAAAATACTCATCGTCGAGTGCTCTGTCGTGTGTTTCGAGTATTAACCTCATTGAATCGCTTCAGCTTTGCATGGCTTTACATCGGTTTCTTTACTCATGTGGCTTTAGTTCAATTATAAGTCTTCTACACACCACGACAGTCTTAGCATAGCATTAGCACCGACTTTGGAAGCTATTACATACCTACCCTTTATTTCTCTTTGTAGTCGGCTCTTATTTAACTTTTTAATACAATCAGCTTTTTTCTTAATTTTCCACACTTGAAAAATAGTTTACAGAAATGACGGTTGGGGACGAATCTCAAGCACCTTATCTTAACGCTCGCAAAATTTAAGTTACACTAAATACACGAAAATCCTGGGTTCAATCCCCTTTGGCACCGGTACCAATGATAATGATTTCTTATATTTACGTGAATACTACACTTTAAACAAAATTAATTTTAAGGATTTTATTGTGTTTAATTTTAACTTTTTTTAATTTTAATATTTGAAGGTAGCGTCGGTTAACTATGACATCAGGATATGATAATAAAATAGAATGATTTTAATGCAAAATAGATTATTACATAATACCTACCATAGTTATTAAAAGTTTTTTTTTTTCAAACACTTCAGTCACTCGGTGAAGTGTCCGATTCGTCGAAAATTAAAAAAAATCAAACGCGATAAAATCCGTAAAATTAGTTTTATTTAATTGTTAATTACAATTTTAAGTTTAATCACATGCTGGTTGAAGTTAAATATAGTGAGGAAATCTGCATGCCTGAGAAATAAAATATTTCAATGTCTAATTATTGTTCTACTGTCAACTTAGGTCTTAGGCGTCTTACTAACGATATACCGTATATCTATTCGAATATATAGAGGCCAAATCCGATGCACGCTGGGCAGATTTGCAAATGCAAAGGCCCAATATATAAGCTAATATAAAAAGGCACTGCTGTCACTAACCCGCCTGGAGAGCGTGGTGGATACTGGCAAATATTTCAACATCTTAAAACTATAGTCTGTAATAAGCCTGTGTATATTTCTAGCAGTGGGTAGATTAAGCTTGATGATATAAGGTAGGCAAGACTTGCTATAGTTTATACCATTATACTAGCTGTTCCCCATGACTTTGCCCGCGTGGAGTTTACTAGGTACTATTACATTTCATGGGTTTTAATTTTCTTTTCGCGGAACTAATTCTTTTTCTAAAATAAAAGTAGCTGTACTGTTACTGCTTATACTTATAACATCAGTCCCGTCAAAATCGGTCCAGCCGTTTCAGAGATTAGCCGGAACAAATAGACAGACAAAAATTTTAAAATTTGTTTTTTTGTTATAAGTATCGTACCTATATACTTTTATATGCATTTAGTAAATAGCTGCTATCTTGACATTAGAAACAGACACTTCAATTTTATATATTTGTGTTAAGTATGGATGTCAACCGCAGATTTGATACTGTAAATAAAGTAAAGTGTAAATAAATGATTCGAAAACACTATTTGAATATACAGTAAATTTTATATTTAATTTTAGTTTATACAGTAAATAAACTGTATAAACTAGAACTATATATACATTAAATGCAAATACACAATATCCATATTTCCATTTTCAAATCAAAATAGAATTTTGTAGGTAGGAACTGAATGCGTGCAGACTATCGATTGTCGAATGAAATATACCTATATTCAAATAGTGTTTTCGAATCATTTCCCGCGCGCATTCCGACTACTGAATTTTGAAGCTGAAACAACTAAACGAATTTATTTCTATTCTAAAAGCCTTTATTTCTTGTAACAGGTTTTGTATACTTACACGTGATAAAAATATACATACATACAACCTTTTAATCAGTCTTTGAAACTAAGTGCTAAAATACTTTTTTTTTTTAGGTAATAAATATTCTGGGACTTATTATCCATTACATTTGTTGTACTTTTTTGTTTAAAAGTGAAATAATGTTAATATTACACCAACTTAGGTAGGTAAGTAGAAGTACATAAACATTTACGCAAACAATACGCTTTTCTTTTAAAAGGTCTCTTTAAACTGTATCTTTAAGCATATCTCGTCCCAACTTACGAACTAAAAGTATCTTACTCATCAAAATCATTGTAAAATTATTGTAAAAACAAATGAAATTTTATAAGTTTTTTTTTTATAAAAAATATTATACCACGTTTTTTTTATCATATTCTTGCATTGTCATCCGAGTTTGAGCTATATTCAAAATTCCAAGTTTTCGGCTCATCGTGAAATTAGTTTAAAATCAATTACTAAATTCCACCCGGAATGACAGACAGACAGACAAGAAAGTGACTCAATTAAAACGTTGTAATACGTTAAACGTTGTGCTACAACTTAAAATACCTAGGTAGGTAAATTCTTTGTCAGGTTGTTTAGTTTTATTTACAAAGTACAGTCCATTAAACCGCCATCATTCACATTCGAATACCAAACTACATTGTTCATGAACGAAATTGCATTCAGGTGACCTAAATCATACCAGTTACAAAATAAACAGGGCGAGCGCTGCCTACGTACCTAGTAGATACGCGAATGACGTCCACTTCTGTACATATTCGTACATAACGAACATGAGTAATCGATAAAATACGTATATAACTACCATGTACTACGGTATCCAATGCCTACAAGCCGTCCGCTAGCATCAAGGAATAGCGAAATGGATAGAGTAGATTATTGAATTTATTTTTTTTGTTATGAGTATCTTATATAATTTAATGAGAACCTCAGTAAAACATAGATATAAAATATTTAGATAAGAAAATGTTATATGAAGTATGATTAAGTCTTATTTTTTATATAAAAACATTGTACCTACGTTGTTTCAAAAAAATTAGCGTAAATGATGTTTCAGATAGCACAGGGCGTTCATAAACGAAAGACAATTATTATTGGACACTGTTAGTGAGAATAAAACACTTAAATTCAAATCACTAACTCACACGTCCTACGAAAATGTTGATCTATATAATATAGTGTTTTCATCTATCTTGAAGAATCATTTTTCTAGAAAAAAAATCTCGAGAGGCCGCCTCGTTGCGGTGAACAAAGTTTGGGGTTAGAGTGTTGAACTAGTAAGAGATTTAGGAAGTTGATAGATGCAGGTGGCCCAATACTATGCTTAGTGGCGTTCCTTGGGAGAACCTTTGTTCTACGGCGGACTTGTGATGGGCTGAAATAGTGATAATAATAATAATCATTATTATTATAGTTTAAGGTATAATATTTAAATTTAACGACGGTGTCCATTAGTTGGTCTGGTAAGATAGTAGGACAGCTATAATTAGTTTTGTGCTGTCAGTTTTATAAGATGAAAAAATGAAACATAATATGTTCGACATCTTGTAGGACCAAATTTTCTGATGACGATATGACCGATCCAAAAACGGTATTTAAAACGTTTACCGATATAAAGGCAGCTTTATAAACGATGATATTGATAACTATCAAGAGATAAGCCTTGACTAAAATCCATGAATGCAAGATAATTATGTTATGTATTAATATTTACGACAAAATGTCGGTGATATTCTGAAGTGAGTGAACGCTTTTCTTAATTCAATGTTACATACATTGAATTACTTGTTAGTCCACATTTAAAACAATTTATAAAAATAAGTACATGGTCTATATAACTTAAAATAGTTGTGAAATAGCCGATAATACGCTGAAATATCATTTATAATTAGATTAATTCAAGATTTTATTTATGTTCTGGAAGTCACATAATCTACTTAGTTACATATTCATAATTTAACAAAATATTTTTTTGTATCAGAGGATATTGTTCATTGCTCTCTGAAAGTAAACTTTATATTATCGATTTATTCATCGATTTTTACCATAGATCATTGACGTTATAGAAAATAGTCTATTGATCTCAGCTGTCTGTCAGTGACATTTCATGTACCACAGTCAAAACGTAAACCAGCAAAAGAATGCAGTTTTTAAATATTTTGTCTTAAACAATTGCATAATCACTCATTGGAAGTCACAAAAACTAGAGATAAAGAAACAAATATGATTTTTTGTTATTATATGTTGATGACATCTTATTGGTGAAAAATAATTTTCGTTCAACCATGGTGTCGACTTTGAATCTTCAAGAAAAATATAATAAAGGTACGTCTCATTTTAAATCTTCAGTTGCTAATCTTTACAAGAAAATTATTAAAACAATTTTTCTAATTTTACAGTACGCAAAAGTTTCTGCTTTTATTTGGATATTCAAGAACCTGGACTCTCTAAATCCATATCGAGAAGATTACAGGACATGGGTTTGGTAAGTAACTGTGCTTAAACCGGGAAAACAAATACAAAATTACGATAAAGGCGAACGACGAAGTTAAATATATTGTTGGTTAATAAAGCAGAATAATACGACTAATTTTAACATGCCGAATAATTCTTATGTTTGTGTTGAGTGACATTGTCTTTTATTTGGTCACATTCTAAGCGTTCCTTTTATTTGCAGTGTACTTTAAACAGCAAGTGTCATTACATTAAACTTCTACTTAAAAAGTGTTTTTAAATTTAAATTGTTCGTGTAAAGTCATAGATAAGGTTAAAAAAAGTAGGGAAAGTATATACTAAACACTTTTTATTTTATTATGTTAAATAAAATAATTATTTATTTAAAATTATTGAAATATAAACATGGCAAAACGGAACGGTTTCAACCGACCAACCAATGAGATTTGTCCCCTCCTCCACAATACGCCGGTAGCGCCGCCAGTGTGCAATAAATAAAACTACGCAAATATCTCCATCTTGTGTGACAGATTTGTGTTTGTTGTTGCTTTCACGAATTTATTTAGTAGATGTGGATAGAAACCATTGAAAAATATCATTCAGCTAAATAAAATATGCTTAAGTGCGTAACGCGTTTAGTGATATAAATTTATGAAGTGAAAATTGTAATACAAGATAAATCCAGCAGTGACGAAGTGTCCGTCTCAGTGACTAGTATATAGTTACTTATTTTTGTGATAAGCGGCGCGCGGGGGCCTCGCGGACGGCATTTGTGTAAGTATATACGCCATACGTTGCTCACATGTGAAAATTTATTTAATGGTCGTGTCAGGTTTGTTTAGAAAACAGTTTCAAACTGAGTTCGTCGAGTGACTAGTTCGGCGCGTAGTCTGCGTTCGATTTTAGGTCATCTTTTGTATGCTCGCGTTAGAGTCGTCGCCGCAACGCTAAATGCAACGGGCCGAGGCCGCGCGCCGCGTTGGATTATGCTGCGTTGCATTACATCCATTTAAAAGCCGTTTGAAATGTAGTTTTCTTTGGCTTACTCGTGTGTATGCTTAATTTTTGACAGTTGATATGGCTTTAAGCTTGTCAAGGAGTATTGTTTCTTAAGATTATTTGGTTACGGGTTAGATTTGTATGAAGATTTTCAGTGTGTTATTTTTTTGCGCGGGACGGTTGGCGCGCTCAGATTGCGATGCTTTGGGCCGCCGGCGTCGGTATTGCCGACTGCATTTCAAGGAAATCTCTATAAGCATGAGGCGTTGATTAACCTGCGGTTACACACATTATTCTTGCAATAAATTAACGCGTTAAAAAAATATTTCCTAAATAGTGTTTGTCAAGCAATATGTTTGAATGCAAGAAAAGCAAGTATGTTTGAATTCCCTGTTACTGATGTCAGCATTTGTTCGAAAATTGCTGTTCTTGCTAGATGTACAATGTATATGCGTGATGCATTTAAGGTCAACATGATCCATATTTTTATTTTGCTGACTTCAAAAGTGACAATTCTAATTAGTTGCCTCATGAATTTTTTAAATTACCACTACTACTATTTCATAGTTTTATAACTGGCAATACATGTTAACTGATACTTTTATATTTTCATTACGTTTTTTGTATCAGCCATTGTATGAGTGTGTTTATAAACACTTGATAAAATATCATATTCATAATATAGTCTGTGTTTATAGGTTATAAACACAAGACTATATACTTGATTAAATGCATACCAATTTTGTCACAAGAGTGTGATTATTTCAAAAATTGTTGCATCCTCAATGATATTAAAATTTTGCTACAGTGGCCAAATATTATGTTAAATAAAAACTACAGGCAATAAAGCTTTGCAAAAGCAAGCAATACTGGCAATCTACAACATGGGACCTCGTGAGTTGCTATGCAACCTAATATTCTGATACTTCCATAGTTGTTTAATTTTAAAATATGTTTCAAATAAAAATTAAAATTTATATAATTTAAAACATCTTTCATCTGCTTTCGACTGCTCAAAGTATTAAGGTAAGAGGTTTTTAAAATTAAATCGGCTAAAACTAGAATATCTTTTCTGACAAAAAAAGTTTTTTTTAATAAAATGTCAGAAAATATAAATGAAAAATTCAAAAAATCGTTAATAAGATTCTGTTATAAAAGTCAAAATTGTTATACATTTGACAATCTTAACAAAACTCAGTCTAAATTTTGAGTTATATGCTAAGTTCAAACAAAATATTCATATGAAATATTCATATGTCTCTGAGATTGATTGAAGGATTATTTAAAAGAAATTTTGGTAGGGTGGATGGGTATATTGGAAACATGCAGGGAGTGATTAGGTGAAGGTGGTGCAGGATCATGCTTTGTGGCAAAATACTTGGAAGGAATGTGTTTTGTAGTAGACTTGTAATAAATTGTAATTAAAAAGATGCTAATGGAATTTCTGTGGAATTTTATAATATGCATAAATGATATGACAGGCCACACAGAAAGTTTATCTAAAAAATTTTTTTTTGAGACACTGGCCAGTTATAATTCATGTCTTAATAGCAAGCAAATAAAAGAAGGCAGTTAATTCAATATAATAAACTGGCACTTCAATTTTATTAATATGCATAGTTTACATTTTGTCCTATTGTATTTATCTTTGTGCAAAATATGCCTATTCAGACAAATTTTGACTCAAAAATTATTTTATTATAGTATAAGTTATTGATTGTTTTAAAATCAATAATTCAAATGCTTTTGTAATTTATAGTTAAATTGTTTAATTTATTGTAAAATATAATAGTAAGCAAACACAGTTTACAGCCAGGCTTCTTGGCTAAATAAATCAAGTTTTTATGTCTTGTTATTTACAATATTCATATCGCGTTGTCTTAGTGTAACAAAAGTCTATGCATTCTTGCCTTAAAGATGCCCGGTTTGTATTCGGACAGAAAGATTGACGCTGGCAAATTATTCCACTTCTTTGCTGTACACATTATAAAAGACAAAGCAATATTGGGTGTCACTTGTTTACTTGGCACTTTTAAACAATATCTACTACATATTGTAGATATATATGAAGTTCATGGTAGTCTTAAATTTTTCCATGCCAACATAGGAGGGTGTTTACGTCAATAATTGTATTTTCAATACTAAGCATGTTATTCTATTGTGTCGACAATATAAGTACAGAATAATACAAAAGTTTTGGCGAACCAATTCTGCATTTTTTTTATGCAGCTTTGAACATAAATTGATAGCATAAGAAATAAATATGAAACTCCAAAATATTTGTGAGTTTTTATATAGACATAAAATATTTAGCCATAAGTTTAAATAAGTTTATTTAAATTACTTAATTCAGAAAAAATAAATTTATCAATTTCTTCACGTTACTTTTTTGTATAAATATTACTGCATTTTACTAAATTATAATACTGCAATGTGTGCCTGCATACTAGGTTCTTACTGCTTTTTTCAAAGTCCTCTTCTCTCACAAAGCAATGTGAGCTGTCGACTAGTGTAACTTTAAACATTTTTTTTTTCATTTTTATTGCATACACTTCATAATGTTCATCATCTATAGTTACAATTGATTTTCCAGCAAGAGGAAGTGTTTCTAACTCCACGAGTGACACACGTGGTCGGGTCCCGCGCGGCGCTGGTAGCGTGCGGCAGCGCGGGCGGGCCGCGATGCGCGCGGCGTGAGGGGCGCGCGCGCGCCGATGCCATGCTGGAGCGGCTGCGGCCGGAGCCCCAGCCAGTGCCGCCCCACCCTCACACCTATGTGCACCTCACCGTTCAAAAGGTACATTGCTCAAACTTGTATGTTTAAAACTAATGACAAGTCTTGACTATATTGTTAAACAGCACTCGTACACTTTGCCTTACTTTCATTACTACCTTAGTTTTCTTAAAAACAATTATATATTTTTTTAATTTATGTATTCCTCATATAAAACCATATTCACTACAAAAAAAAAATTGTATTTGATTTTATAAGAAACATTTGTTTTATTTCCACTGGAATCAATTGCCCCATGGGAGTTTTAAAAAGTGAATGAAATATAATAATTTTTATTCAATATAGATTAGATTACTTCATAAAAATATTTATGCTTCTACCACTGGTTCAGATAAAACCACTGTCCTAGAAGGAACAAGCAACAAACCCTGTGGGACTTTTTTAATAGTCAAAAAAGTACTCATGTCCCTTGACATGTGGCAGTATGCCATCTCATGTATGTCAAATGTGTGTCAATAATCAGATTAGCAGCCAGGAGGAATAGTCAATTGCCTACCAAGTGTGATAATTATGGCAAATTATTCCTATTACTATATGTTTTTCTAAACTGAAGTGGCAATGAGCTGGCCATGTCTGTCACATAAGTGACAACCGGTGGAGTAGACGTGTTATGGAGTGGAGACCACGTCTAGGCAAACATAGTATGGGATGCCCCTTGACCAGATGGAGTGAGGATCTGCACAAGGTGGCTGGTAGAAACTGGATGCGTGTAGCCGAATCTCGGGCTAAGTGGCATGCCTTGGGAGAGGCCTATGTTTAGCAGTGGACTGCCGCAGGCTGATGATGATGATGATTCCTATGACGGGATAATCCCAAATGCAGCAAGGAACTGTTGAAGGCAGATAAAGTAGAAGGCTACATTTAGCTTTCATTAATGCAGAGCCCTTGGAGGCCTTTAGCTTATAACAATTTTTTTTATAGAATTGGGTGACAAACGAGCACACTGTCCACCTGATGGTAAGTGGTTACTGTGACCCATAGACATCTACATCTATCCTCAATAAAGACTTAAAATGCAGATGCGTTGTCACCCGTGAGGACTGAGATGGAATGCCTCTTGTCTAGTAAAAAGGGTCTCCGGTTCTCTACACTCACCATATGAAACACAGCAGTGTTAAGTTGCTATTTTACACTGGTATTCTATGAGAGCATGGTCCTTCCCCGGTTGAGCCGACCCATTTGTGCTATAACTATATTACTAATATAGCTGCAGCATGGTTCTACCACATGATAGCATTCATTTAATAAAACAATTTTTTTCGGATTTTGTAGCTAAATCAGAATATAAAATAGACTTAACAAACATTATTTCTAATATTTAATTATGATATATTGTTTTAAATTCCTTTTATGTCTATATTTGGATAGGCTCACTGCAATGCAGCTTATTACATGTACACCTATATGTACTTTTATTTTATGATATATTAAAAGTAAAGTAAAGTTGCAGCCTATATACATCCCACTGTTGGGCACGGGCCTCCTCTCATTTCTGAGAGGGTTTTAGGGCAAGGAAATGTCTGCCGTGCTGCCCCAATGCTTGTTGGAACTTTGAACTTCACATGTCTTTGAGATATTTTTTTTTATTTCTCAAACAATCTGGTTTCCTCACGATGTTTTCCTTCACCGCCAAGCACGTGGTAAATCAGCACTTAAAATTGCAATTAACAATTTCTTTGGTGCCGACGGGGATCGAACTCGGGTTGCTTGCGTACTGCGAAACTTACAGCGAGTGCTAACCATCTGAGCTACCACAGCTCTTATTTACCACGGATATTACCTCTGTTAAAATGTTCACTTACAAGGCCAGACTATTCATTAAGGCAATACCCCAACCAAAACCATGTGATAGTGCGTTTTTCTTCGTTATTCAGAGACTATTATCTTATTAGTTATGAGAAATAAACAACATCTGAAAGCACATTATTAATGTTTGATATCCTATCATCACATTCCACGTTATAATTTGTTTTTATGTGTTATAAATACATTTAAAATCTACTTTTAAAAAATGACTAAAATTATTGATTACATGCATCTGTTGCTAAAGAACCGCTCTAATCATTTGAGGATTACACTAATGGATAGACAATTTAAAAATATTATATTATTCACGTTTTATTTAATATTTAAATTTCGCTTTTCTTTTCTAATTAAAATTAATTCCAAAAATTGTGTGAATTCTATGATAAATGGGCGTACGCAGAGTGCGGGCGGCAGTGCACTGCATGCTCAAGGTTATTTGGTCAGGGAAACACCTTAACAGATCTCTCTAAGAGAGAAACATTTGATATTATTTAAACTATTTTTATCAACATTTGCCTACTTTCTTCAGTGTTTTCTTTTTCAGGTTACAATTTTACATAGTAATATTAAAAAAAAGTGCATAAAATGCCCTAAAATGAATTATGATGAGAATGTTTTGGCCAATTTTGTTGACCACATTGAGAACTTGCCAATATCTATGATGTGATGAATGAATGAAAACTCTATCTGGCTGAACTTTTTCTTCTTTGCACTATATTTACATATTTTTATAGCCTATTTATTTAAACTTTCAGGCTATAAGTCTATTGGATAAGCTATATGAGACATTCTTCACGGCACCGCGTAAAACGCATGTCAGACTCTTCAGTAAACATTTTATCAAGATTGAATTTTTGGACAAGTATGGATCAGTATTTGGATTGTGCTGTATGTCTTTGTACTTCCCTACCTACCACAAATACTCAATTGTCTCATGTCATGTTTCAGACTGTGCAAATCAGTTTACAAGGAGTTTGATGAATGGCCTCAAATATCTTTAGAGCCTGATCCACCAAAAGAGAAAAAGGAAAAAAAACAATCCCCTGAAAATCTCATTAATACTATTAAGAATACTGCAGGTCAGAAGTAAGTGCCATTTAAATTAAAATATCTTGTTATTATGTTCATTGGATCAAATAAATTATTGTATAACTTTTTTTTTAGGATGACTAGAAAGAGTCGACCTCGAATAAAGGAAAGAGAAGAAAAAGAACAAAAGGGAGGTTACTGTGAAATGTGTAACACAGCCTATGCAGATGCGGCTTCACACCGTCGATCACCGCACCATCTAGCTTTCGTCAGAGACCACACAAATTTTATTGCACTTGACTCTTTAATTAGTTCAGGAGCAGATGTTTCTACATTCCTTGATAAAGCGACACCTATTAATGGCGAAAGACGATCTCTAAGGAAATTCTGCAATGGCGATGCAGAACCAAAAACTAAGCGATCAAAAACATCCCAGTCCCCTGAGTCAACAGTTAATGGCAGCCAAAGTCCAAAACGCAATGGTGGGCTTGATGATGAAAAGAAACATAATACACGATGTAATAAAAAGTCCAGTGAGTCCCAGATATCTGAAGATCGCCAGTATTACAAAGTGGTTGGTGTGAGCACTAAGCTTCGATCTAGTGGCGGTTTTACCCCAAAAAGCAAAGACCCACCAACAGCATGCAATGGCACAAAACCTTTAGTTGTTAAGTTTAGAAAAGTTAGACGTTCAGAACTTTCAGTTCTAAGTGATGAAGCAGAACAATTTATGTTTCCAAAACGAGCAAGTTCAACAAGTTCCACATCATCTGAAGATAAGGACGATGATAATGACGATGATGAAGAGGATAAAGAAGAGATTTCCCGAACGAAAAGAAAGACCCCACCAAAAACCGTGATCCAACCAATCAATGATCGACAAAGATTAGCTAGGCCCCTAGCTTTGAAAGAAGAATCATCTGAAGAAGATAGCTGGTCTGAGAACCAAAGAAAACGGAAAAAGCGGGGATCTGTTGGAAATAAACGAGGGCGACGAAATAAAACACCTGTTGTTGATCTCCCGCCAATGCCACCGGAACCTAAACAACCATCACCATTACCATCATCGTCACCAACACCACCACCACCACCACCACCATTACTACCCCTCTCTCAGCAGCCACCAGAAATGCCACCTGAAGCTGAGATTAACCCATTAAGAGAAGAACTTTCCGAAAAGTGTATGAAATGGGAGGATGGTAGACTGAAGTATACCCCAGCAGTAGAAAATTTAGAATTTGCCTTTGAGTCAATACCACACAGTGAGCCTTGGTTTGAAACATTTAAACGTCAAGACCAAGACAAAGTAGCGACAAGAAATATACCACAATATTTTGGTATGTATTCATTATAAAGTAATAGTATTATTAATAATTAATTAAATATTGTATTATATTTCAAATTATATTTATGTTTTTCAGCATTATATTCAAAATCCCCAAAGTTACCCTATGAAATTGGTCAGTTACCACCATTGAAGCCAAATTGTTGTCCTCTTAGTGACATAGCTAAACGTGACGATAAACCTGGTCCTTCACGTTCGTATGGGACGCGCGGTATGAAGAAACAGAAGATAAGAAAAAGAACAGTAGCATTAATGGCATTAGAACATCCTAGAAAGTCCCCAAGAGAACATGCCTCTACACTAGCAATACTTGGATCAGCAGGATTGTTGCATAGGCGAAAACATCCAGAAGATGCAAAATCAACAGCATCTGAAGACACTATCAGCGACACTCATAGCACTGCAAAAGTGGAACCTGTTATATCTGAAACTCAAGAAGCCTCTGAGAGACTTCAACAGTTTTTGTCAGAAGTGTTTGAGGACGCTGCTGATTATGACATCTCCGATGACATCATGGAAGGCGATGCAACAGTTACTACATCTACAAACATTCCAGATGTTTCCAGCTTAGTGTCAGAATGTGACAACTGTGATATTATTAGAAATGAAATAAAACAGAGTAGTTCTGTTCATGCGAGAACTAAAAAGGGTAAATTTAAGAAAAAGAACAAGACAGGATGGCCTAGTAAAAGGAAGCAAGTTAAAAAGGATTCCCGCAATAGTAGTATGGAGACAGATGAAAAAGCAGAGAGTTTTCAATCTTCTATAGAACCCCCAGATGATGAAACTACTCAAGACACTATCATTGAAGAAGATCCAAATCTATTAGAGACTGAGAAAGATGAAACACTAATAGAAAATAAGGAAAAATTTGAGGATGTTGAAAAAGAAGATACAAAAGCAGTAGAAGAAAATTTTATGGGATCTCAAACTCATTATGAGAAAACAGAAATTGATATATCTCACCCGAAAGAAGAAAAGCTAATACCTGATGAAAAGTCAGTTCATTTGGATTTGAAAGTTTTAGTTCAAGACAAACTTAAGCAAAAGACCGTAAAAGCTGAAGATAATGATTGTAAAAGAACTTCACGGTCATCTGCCTCTGAGACAGAAGAAAAAGATAGGAACTCTAAAAAGAAACGTCCAATATTGCCTGTAGGGGATTGGTTACAGCCTATAGTGAGAGTATCCAGAATGGATCCAAATAGTGCAATGCGGTTACGTTCTGCCGGTCGAGCTCGAACTAACCGTTACAGATAGCGGACCATGAAAATGTTGTTTGAATTGTTTACCACCGGAGAATTCTTGTTTCCAATTAGATTAATGGACTTTTGTTAAACTTTTGTTGATTACTATTGTTATTATTTCATACAATCAGCACGCAAAAGTGTTTATTGTTGTGTAATATAATTTATTATTTAGCAAAACAGATTAAAATTGTAGTTTATAGACTATAAAAAACAGTAGTAGCAATTCATACACAGGAAATGATTGTAATTTATTTACATGTATGAAAATTAATTTTGTGCATTTTGATATGTGAATCTTTGTTTCGAGGACTGAGAGTTTTTTTTTTACATGAGAATATCTGAAAACAGTATTTATAATTTTAGTATAAAATGTCTTGAGGCTTGTTTGAGAGTCTGACGATGTAAATATCTGTGTAAAATATTTTAATGTTTTGTTAAAATAATATGTTACTATAAAATGTATTGAAGTGTTGCGGTGCATTTGCGTTGCACGAGCTTAGTGTATATAGGTGTCGTTTTTTGTATGCCTTAATGTATGAACTTCCTTTTTGATGAATGAAAGTTGTTAGGCAGTCGGTTTCATCAGTAAAAGTTGTAAAAAATAAAAACTATTCTGAACTATATATATGAAATTATTTTCTCTTTAACGTTATCGTTTAATGAAGTTTATTATTATATGGATAGGTACAATAGCACGAGTCCATAAACTCGTGATATTGTACTTATCCAGTGTTAAGTAATAATAAATTATTCTTTTTAACATTGTTTAAAAAAATCACAATGTGTCACATGCGATGTTTTTGAGAATTTTGATGGCAGCTTAAGCCAGCAGACAGTGGATAAATCGATACCCGAGTTCTCAAGTGCCTAAAATTTTTGTCTGTCTGTCTGTTTGTTTGTTCCGGCTAATCTCTGAAGCGGCTGGACCGATTTTGACAGGTTTTTCACTGGCAGATAGCTGATGTTACAAGGAGTAACTTAGGATACTTTTATTTTAGAAAAAGAATTAGGGTTCCAAGCAAAAAAAAAAACCCTAACACGCGAGCGAAGTCGCGGGGAATAGCTAGTTCGAAAATAATTTCGATCACCCATATATCTAAATTGTCTGGTCACGTGGCCAATTATGTCGTAATCCTCAATAAATCAATTAGGATCTTTTAAATAACATCGAAAGTCATAAATAAACATTGTACGAAAATTTTATCGCGTTAAATCACGCTGACGTGGCAGACAATTTTCAATTTGCTGCCAAATCGTAAATAAATGACAAATTAATAAAATACATACACAATAATATTGGCAAAGAGTTCTATTTTCAAAATTTGAGCTTATTTTTTTATTATATCGCTTACAAGTGGCCAGTTCTAAAAACTTTCAGTGTCGCCCTCATAATAATATTAAAAGAATTCTTTTTTTGTTACATTTTTTTATTTTCTTTAATTATATGATTAGCAAAACTATCTGTTTTCTAATCATTGAAGAAATTTTCTGAAAAATATTTGCCTTCTTTTGTTAATTATTTTTGTTATCTATTTTATTATTATAAAGATAATAACTTCGATTAAATTGCTTTTTAAATTAAAACGGTATTTCGAAAACGAATTTCAAAGAAGAAAATAGCCGCCACACGTTGACTTGGGTGGCTGGACAAGCTAAAAGAATACATGCCAATTTGTAGAGACGAGGATAAATGTTTTTTTCGACCACCAGTGATTTAATATATTTTCTGTCGACTTAATAAGAGGTTCCTTAAGAAATATATCAAACTTATAAGGTTCAGTATATCACTTTGAGCCTCCACATATTTTGTGCTAAGAAAATCTAACTCAGCTTGAGCACTATCTGGTTTTGTTTGCGAATCAGACGTAGATAAACAAGTAGGCAAATTTTTTAAACCTTAATTTATTAAAATTAATTTTTCATACTAATAGTTAGTGCAATGCCAAACTAGGCACAAGAGAGAACGGTGAGCTGAAAGTGGGGAAATTTGGAATAGAGCAACGGAACCCAAGGGGCCAGCAGCTGGCCGACTTCATGGAGAAAGAGGGACTCTTTATGATGAACTCTTTCTTCCAGAAGCGGCCCCACAGGAAGTGGACCTGGTCGAGCCCCGACGGTTCGACAAAAAATGAGATTGACTTCATTATGACGACCAGACGACAACTGTTCAGTGATGTCTCAGTGATCGCGAGGGTGAAAACCGGCAGCGATCACCGAATGGTTAGAGGCACACTGAACCTAAACGTTAAGTTGGAGAGGTCTCGTCTAATGAAGTCAACGCTCCGTCCCCCTCGTGCTCTAATCCAAAGTCCCGAAACCTTTCAGCTCGAGTTACAAAACCGTTTTCAGTGCCTAGAAGACTGCAATGAAGTGGACGATTTGAATGACAAGCTCGTGGAAACTGTCCATGCGGTCGGAGCTAAGTTCTGCAAGACCCGCCGCAGAAGAACACAAAAACTCTCCGATCACACTCTCAATCTCATGGCTGTTAGACGGGAGATGAAGCTACATTCTTCAACAGATTTGACAGCATACAGGCAACTGAACAGACACCAGACAGATCTCCAAATGCATACGGCGGGACTTACGCAACTTCAATACAGCTCGTATTGAAGAAGCGATCGAGCGGAACCAAGGCTCCAAAGTCTTTGCCAGAGATCTGTCTGCCAGAAAGCGCCAACTGTCAAAGCTGAAGACAGAATGTGGCAGCATCGTTTCCGGGACACCTGAGATTTTGAGTGAGATTGAGAGGTTCTATGGGCAGCTGTACACGTCATCGTTGGAGCCGTACGCAAGTGTGAATAACGATCCAAGAGCGAGTCTTATCCGACATTATTCCGATGATATCCCGGACGTCAGTCTGAGCGAGATTAGAATGGCTCTCCAGCACCTTAAAAACGGCAAGGCCCCAGGCGAGGATGGAATTACAGCGGAGCTTCTGAAAGCGGGTGGAAAACCGGTACTTGAAGTCCTTCAGAAGCTCTTTAATTCCGTCCTCCATGGTGGCATTACACCGGAGGCGTGGAGCAGAAGTGCGGTGGTCTTGTTCTTCAAGAAAGGCGACAACGCTCTCTTGAAGAACTACAGACCGATTTCCCTTCTGAGCCGCGTCTACGTGCTGTTTTCGAGAGTCATTACGAATCGTCTCGCGCGCAGACTTGACGACTTCCAGCCTCCCGAACAAGCCGGTTTCTGAAAAGGCTTTAGCACCATAGACCACATACATACCCTTCGGCAAATTGTACAGAAGTCTGAGGAGTACAATTTGCCACTATGTCTGGCGTATGTGGACTATGAGAAAGCCTTTGATTCCGTCGAAATTTGGGCGGTGCTGCAGTCCCTTCAGCGATGCCAAGTTGACTGTCGGTATATCGAAGTGTTGAAGTGCTTGTACAGTAGGGCTACGATGGCTATCCGAGTACAGAACCAGAGTACGAAACCTATCCAATTGCAGAGAGGTGTAAGACAGGGTGACGTCATATCCCCGAAACTCTTTACCGCTGCATTGGAAGATGTTTTCAAGCTTATGGACTGGAAAGGATACGGTATCAACATCAATGGCGAGTACATCACTCACCTTCGATTTGCCGACGATATAGTCCTTATGGCAGAATCGCTGGAGGACCTAAGCACTATGCTCAATGACCTCAATAGTGTTTCCCAACGGATAGGTCTTAAGATGAACATGGACAAAACAAAGATCATGTTTAATGTCCATGTCACACCTATGCCGGTAGTTGTTGGGAACACTAAGCTCGAAGTTGTTGACGAGTATGTTTACCTGGGACAAATAGTCCGAATAGGTAAGTCCAACTTCGACCGAGAGGTCAATCGACGGATTCAACTCGGTTGGGCAGCGTTCGGGAAATTACGGCACATCTTCTCGTCAGGTATACCTCAAAACTTGAAAACGAGACTGTACACCCAGTGCGTGTTGCCAGTGATGACATACGGAACTGAGACGTGGTCCTTCACTGCTGGCCGGATGAGGAAGCTCAAGGTCGCTCAGCGAGCTATGGAGAGTTTCTCTGCGTGATAAACTCAGAAATGAGGATATCCGCAGTAGAACTAGAGTGACCGACATAGCCCAACGGATTAGTAAGCTGAAGTGGCAATGGGCCGGCCATATAGCTCGAAGAACCGACAACCGATGGGGAAGAAAGGTTCTCGAGTGGCAGCCTCGTACCGGCAGGCGAAGTGTAGGGCGTCCCCCCACTAGATGGAGTGACGACCTGGTAAGATATGCAGGAAGTCGATGGATGCAGGTGGCTCAGGACCGTGCTTTGTGGCATTCTTTGGGGGAGGCCTATGTTCAGCAGTGGACTTGTGAAGGGCTGTAATGATGATGATGATAGTTAGTGGGGCTTGAAATCCCCACCAGTGCCTGTGAGGTTTTCGGAATAACCCTTGTTCAACTATGTATTTCTTAAATAAAATATTTTTGAATACTTTTTCAACAATAACAAACCAAACGTACAAAGCAACTTTAATTACTTAAATTTTAAAATTTTAAATATTCCTAAAATTCATTTTAAGTACTACAATCTTTTTATAAAAAATAGACATTTCTTAAAAGTATTTCATACACACAATTTGGGCGAACAATTATGTCAACGGGTCAGTGAATCAGTCGGTGAGTATCAGTATAAACCTACAAGAAATAATACTAAGTAAAGTCGGTAGGTAGGTATCAAAATTAGTTAATTACTAGGTAAGCACTGATGCATTTAATCTTTTTTTTTTATTGAAAAAAAAATCGTTACCCCCACACTAGGATTTTCTCCTGTATCGTAGAGGCAATTTACAAACTGCACAAAGACAAACATCCAGACCCGGAACAATTATTTGTAGGCCATACAAATACTTGTTCCGTGCGGGATTCGAACCCGCGGCCCCCAGCGTTGTAACTCATTGCTAAGCCACTGCGCCACGAAGTCGTCAAATTTTTCAAATTTACAACTCCGTCTTTGGTTTTCGTTTGTCCACCGACCAGCCGATCACCCGCTCTTG